GGGAAGACGACGGTCTTTGGAGGTGCTTGGAAGATGATGACGAGGAGCAAGATGAGCAAGATGAGTATGACGAAGAAGGCGAAGAGGCGGATGATTTTGTCCGAGTAGCCTGCCGAGTAGCCTTGACTGACGTTGAGCCTTGAAAATTACATTTTCTTAGTGTTTAGTGGATTAGTATTTGATGGACTGGATACAGGTTGGAATAGTATGGTTATTGGTGTCTGGATATGTTCTTGGTTACTCAATGGGGGCTCTTTTAATTACACTCATTTGGTGTTTAATGGGCTGGATACAGGCTGCAAAAGTTTAGGTAGCTATTGGTGTTTGGACGTGTGTATTTGGTTACTCAAGACTGGTTTTGGAATTAATATTATCAGTGTTGACGGTTATTATACTGCAGAAAAAGACTGATTGTTGATGTTTGAATATGTGTGTTTGGTTGAGACTGGTTTTGAGGATTGTATTGTTGCAGTGATAACCATTACTGATAGTCTACGGCATGCTATCACAGTTCAAACACTGTCATTCACAATACACACATGCACATTGATGCGTTTCGTAAACGTTTGAAGATTTCATTAGCCTGCCAGACCCGTTACAATCCGCCCAAAGCAAGGCCATGCAAATGCCAATGGGAAACCTACCCCCATGCCAGGGGATATGCGACTCCGGCCCCTTTTGTATTCCACATCCTGATGCCGCAAAGGACCGCCGCCCAGACGTGGCAGCAGCGCCATCCTCTCCAGCAGCCACAAGACGCTTTGTTTTCGACCAGTTTCTTCTTCCTCTGCAGATTCTCGTCTCTTCCCCCATCGTCCTCCGCCAGCGCCACCAAGTAAACAGTAAACGCCTTCTTCTTCTCCTCCCCCAAAAACCCAGGTTTTTGTCGCAAAGCCTTTATCGGTAAGACTTCTGGTACCTGGCACGAGCACCGGGACCACCGAACTTCTTGGGCTCGCAGCGGCGGTTGTCAGCGACCAGCAGGGTGCGGTCGAACTGGACGAGGGCCTGCTTCAGCAGGTTCTTGGAGTGCTCGTCGACGAACTTCTGGTAGTAGGCGATGAGGGACTTGGCAATGGCCTGGCGGATGGCGTAGATCTGGGAGGTGTGACCACCACCAGTGACGCGGACGCGGATGTCGACGTTGGCGAACTTGTCGAGGCCGACAACCAGGAGAGGCTCGTAGACCTAGAGAGGCGGAAAAGTCTTAGTACTTTGGAGTTTCTTTTCGTATTACAACAGTGACCTTCAAGACAAATTTTGTAGCCATCTCCAATTTTTCTCGAACAAATTGAACCCCTCCGGCATTCGAGTTTGACGAGGACGAATTGGAGAGGCTATAAAAAGCGTCTTCGAGTCGGTTCGGGAGGAAGGAAAGGAAGCGTACCTTGAAGCGGAGGATCTCAGGCTGGACCAGAGACAGGGGACGGCCGTTGACCTTAACGAGACCACGGCCAGCCTAGATGATGAATCAAACGTCAGCACTTCTGCATGTCTTTATGATTTTGAAGTTTATCCCTTGTCGCCAAAAATCGAAGAGAATTTTTGCATGACTTCATGTCAAATATCCCCCACATCAGATTCCCATTCTCATTTTCCCATCTCTTTTTCCCAATATCCCGCCAACGACATCGATATTCCATCCATCATCATCTCCGTCCACTAACCTTGCAGTGGGCGACGGCGGTGGCCGTCTTCTTCTTGCCGAAGCATTGCACGCTCTGAGTCGACGACATGGTTGCTGGTGGTATGTGAAGGAGGGTGAGAGAGCGGGTTTGTTGCTGGCGGTCTCGCTTCGCTTGTCGTCGTGATGGACTTTCGCGGGTCTCTTTTTCGCCTAGACGGATTTTTTGCGTCCCGGGCTCGACTCTGGCCGGCGACGAGGAGGAGAGGGTTTGTGCCCTTAATGTGCGCTATGCCGCTTTGGGTCGCACGAGCGAGGCTCTGCCGCAAATCTTTTCGCGCTGCGCTCTGGAGCCAAAGAGAGCGCCTAGCGGGTTGAAGCATAGCGTCATGTTAGTGGGGTCGCTGTGCTGCGGTGCGCATGTCAAACAACAGCGCAAAACAGAGCGGATCCACGTGATGCGTGCCCTAAACCCTTTGCCTTAGTGTTCCAATTGTGGCATCCCGCCAAAATTTCGCATCGAGTGAAGCATCACGCCGGACAAACTAACCACAGCCAGAGTAACCGTCAAGGTACGTTTTTGTCGTCGATCCAATCTCAGTCGCGAGACTTGCTTCGTTTCACCGAATCTAATATAATTGCTTTTCAAGATGGTCGCCGCCAAGAAGCACGTCCCCATCGTCAAGAAGCGTACGTCTTGATCCCGAATAGAATAAAAGCTCTCCTCTCGTCGAGATACGGTCGCCGCTCTTCATTTTGCCTTCAATTCTCGATTTCCGACTGCCTTCGAAAACAACACACCCGACAAATGAAAGATTTTCGAACGAGGAAACGTTTGAAGTGCAGTTGGAAATTTGGTAGAACTGGAGCAAAATCGAGAAGGCGACCGAATCGAGACCTCCCTTAATCATTGATGCTGGAAATGGCATGCTGGACGCATAATTAACTGGAGATGTGCAGACAAGGCTTCTTTCAACCGTCACCAGAGTGACCGGTTCGACCGCGTCGGTGCCAGCTGGAGAAAGCCCAAGGGTATCGATGGCCGTGTCCGCAGACGCTTCCGCGGTACCATCCGTATGCCCAAGGTACGGCAAACTCTACCTTGAAATGATGATCCAGGAACAAAGTGCTGATATGGAATGAATCATTTAGATCGGCTACGGCTCCAACAAGAAGACCCGTTTCTTGACCCCCTCCGGCCACAAGGCTTTCCTTGTCAACAACGTCAAGGACCTTGAGCTGCTGTTGATGCACAACCGAACCCACGCTGCCGAGTACGTCATTCCTTGAGATTATGGACTTGTATGCGAAACGTTCCCCCCCGGCTAATACTTTCCCACAGGATCGCCAGCTCCGTCTCATCCCGAAAGCGAATCGACATCATCTCCCGCGCCAAGCAGATTGGCGTCAAGGTCACAAACGCCAAGGCCAAGGTCACCACCGAGGTCTAAATGGATTAAAGTTTTTGTGTACGGGGATATGCGAGAGGAAGTCGGGTTATTTCTTCGGATCATCGGGTGTGTGGATGGGACGATAGAATAAAAATAAAGCATTTACAGCACACACACACAACAATGGAGAACAAAAAAAAATTGAACAAAGTCTACAAAAAGCGCAATTTTTTTTTATCCAAGTTTCTCCGGGTTTATCGGTTTATCATATCTCTGGAAAGGGAAAGGGGGCGCCTGCGGTCTTTTGGGGCTGCTGTCTTTATTTTTTTCGAAAGAGGTGCTACGGTTTGCTTTTTTGGCCATGCGTGCGTGCATGCTGCATACGGCTGGAGAGAGAAGACGGCCTCGGGCATTTCCATGTATTGTCGATTGCTAGGGAAATATGACGCACCGTTGACGAATGACGATTTGATACTGAAGCATGAGTGTCGTGATGACTCGTGAAGTGAGATGGAGCCTGACATTTGGTCTCTGATCCGGAGGCATTTGAAGAAGCAGCTGAGCTAGTAGGAACCACGACCGATCCTGTCTGGGCTATACCACGAATAGGACGAACAATAATTGGAATCGGAGCTTTGAGAAACTAAACCTATTAGAGCCCTATGTAATGAGAACCACCTCTTACTTTCTCTCGCTTTGGAACAGTGCGCATAACATTTTCAACCTCCTCCAGCCATGGCCCCCAAAACTGCCTCAGCTGCGTTGAGTGCGATAGACACTCATACTCAAAGTCTCTACCTCGTTACGCCTCGCCTTTTGCTCTAATTGTCTAGCACTACAGCTCTAAAACCTTCTGGGCCTTACGATAAGAGTCGAGACACTCGTGGCCATTGGAAGCAATGGAGTCAATGAGCCATCGGTTTTACTATACACGCATAACCACGGCCGTTACACCAAAATATAATGCTACGCTTTTCACCAATATATTAACCGATGAAAATGAAACGAAATTAGTATCTTAAAATTATTGGTTAGCTAATATAAAATCCAGGCAAAGTTAACAGGCATCATTTAACAGAAAGAGACGACATGGACACAAAAGCGTACTTAAAAGCTATAATCCTCTGACATTCGCGCCTTGATCAAGACACTGTATGGCTCTCTTATAGTCCAACGGGTAATTGACAGTTCCCTCCAATGTATGCCAGGCCTTGAGGGCGTACTGGCCCATTGCCAGCCAGACACCGCCCTTGTGATCCTGTACGCCTTGAATCCACTGCTGCTGCGTGGCCGTTGTGTCGTCCAGCTTAATGTTATTATGGGGCATATGTGTTGTGCTTCTTAGAGCGAAAGAGGGATGATCTTAATGCAAACATGATTGGGTATGTTTTCGTACATTATAATTGGTTTCTTAACTATATAGCCCTTTGTAGTATTGAAACAATTAGGACTTAGTGTTGATACAGTCTAAGAGGTATTGTGTAAGTGAGTGATCTCTCCAGCCATACTGGCGGATTAATGGACAGCATCATATAAAGATGAAGGACCTCGTCTCTTTGCCATCAGTAGCAAAGACTACGTGCATGCAACAAGCTCGTGGCTGGCTATATATAGGTTCGCAAGCAAACCTCAGCCGGTCGCTGTCTCGGACATGTACCATCTCAACCGAATGCCTACCTACGGCCAATCGTCAAAACTCGTGTCCTCCTTGAATCTAAAGAATAACAGCCGGCCCGATTCACATTCAACAACAACGCTGTGATCTCGCACTTGAGCAACGCCTCTACGATACAACTTTGGCAGAAATATAACCTCCTTGCCCTGCCAAGTGATGCCCCCCCTGGATATGCCAGGTGCCCCCCCTCGCGATATGATTCTCAAAGTTCGTGAAACTATATGGGCACCATATGGTAGGCGTCATACGCACCAAATCAAACTCCCGAATATCCTTGATGAGAATTGGACCTGAACCTGTCAACACGTACTCAGGATATGCATGATTGAGCTGCAAAGTGTGGAGTGGAACGCTGCACTTTGCTGTAGCGTGCTGGCCTGTCGCGGTATCCCAGATCCAGATTTGGTCGGAAGAGCAAGCAATAAGGCTGCTTGCATCGGATTTGAATATCAATGAGAGTATCTCGCTGTCCAGCTTGCTTTGCATGAGGACCTTCATTGGCTGGGTGGCGGCACTTCCCGGTTCCTACAAGGTCCCAGAACAGAACCCTACCATCGCCGCCACCAGCCGCGATGTATCTCCCATCCTTGGAAAATACAATTGAAGTGACTTTATTGGCATAGCTACTATGAAGCTTATGCGTATAGTTATAGTCAATGCCATCGTGGCTCTCTTCATTTTTGTGCTCGTCGACCAGACGCTGCATGTCCCACACGCGCACCATTCTATCATCGCACCCCGATGCCACGAACTGGCCGTCTGGCGAGAAGACAGCAGACCGTGTCCAGTTAGTATGTTGAGTTAAGAGTGGCTGTAGTTTGTTCTTCAAATCCCAAACTCTTACCGTGCGGTCTTAAGATGATGCAAGCAGATACCGGGAGTTATGCGAGAACTCAAGCGATAGGATCTCGTCTCGATGGCCACAAACTTGGCCTCGGAAACTACCTAAATCCCCATCCCAGAGGCAGATCACGCCGTCTGCCGAACCCGAGGCAACAAATTTGCCGTCTCTTGACAAGGCCAAGCATGATATGGGCTTTTTATGGCCTGAAACTTGTTGATCAACCTCTCCGTCCACTTCGGTAGATGCTCCAGCAGCTACTTTTATCTCATGCCGGCTATAATCCCAGATACGCAGTGTCTGGTCTGCGGAGCAACTGACAACGTATTTCTCGAACTTCAATGGGGGAAAACGATAGATTGTAACCTTCGGAGGAGTGTCCGCGTAATATCAATTGAGCTTGCTTATGCTCATCGTCCCAAGGGCCTTCCCAAATCCTGACCGTTCCATGTCTGGACGCAGATGCTAGGCAAGAACCGTCGGGAGAGAAAGCGATGGCGTTGACACCGGACTCATGCCCGACGAGAATGCTTGGTTTTCTACGGGATCGTAAGTCCCATATGTAGATGACATCGCCGGCTATGGTAGCAATGTATTTAGAGTTAGGCGAAAAGGCCACTTGAAAAGCCAATCCCAGATGCTTTGGTAGAAAAAAAAATTCTTTTTTCCCAAACTTAGGGGGGATTCGGGTTGCTTTCCTTTGTGTGTTTACCGCGCCATCCACTACCTCGTTGTTTACATTCTGTGCTGGCTCCTCAATCAGTTTCCAGAGGGACATGCGATTCCCAGATGCCGAGGCAAGCAAGGCGTCGTTTTTGGAAAATGTCAGTCCGCTGATCAGAGAGTTTTGGTAGGCAACTTGTTTAGTGGAAAGGAGGTAAAGGAGGTAAAAGAGGTAGAAGAGGTAGAAGAGGTAGAAGAGGTAGAAGAGGTAGAAGAGGTAGAAGAGGTAGAAGAGGTAGAAGAGGTAGAAGAGGTAGAAGAGGTAAAAGAGGTAGAAGAGGTAGAAGAGGTAGAAGAGGTAGAAGAGGTAGAAGAGGTAAAAGAGGTAGAAGAGGTAGAAGAGGTAAAAGACTAGATGTATCTATCATTCAGTAGATCCTACACTAACCTAATTGTAAATATTCCATAGCACGGAAAATACAATGAGCAATTTTAACTCAAGAGATTGCGGTTCCTAATGGACCATCCCCCGGGTCGAGTCGCTCTCTTTATATTAAGAACACACCCATTGTATTTACAAAAATTTTCGTCACACGCAACGAGACTCGTAAAGTGTACAGCAGCGAGTGTTGTATCGCTTACTTTCACCTCAAGGTGTAAACATCTCACCCGAGTCCTGCCTAGAGTCTAAAGACAAGCATGGCTGAACGCGCACCCAGAGTTTCCCTGCCACGCCGAGATAACAAGTGACTCTTGCAACTATGCAGCAACTGGCGCAGCATCGCAATCACCCTTTTAGTTACTTTGTCAAGCCCCTCTTTATAAAAGCCTACAGTAAACTTCACTACACACACATTACCCACTTCCCCAAGAAAGAACATCACCACTCGAATTCTCTCATCATCCACCCCTCCACAGTAAAAAAAGGCCAAAAAGAAACAACATACAAAGCAAAAATCGCAATCGCAACATCATGTCTTTAAATAATAGTAATAAGAAACGGCTAAAATGGGTATCTCATCAACCCTTCACGACTCACACACATACGTCTTCCCCCTCTACTCCTCTACCTCCTCTCTTTATCCTCTCTCTATCGTTTATCCTTTCAACCTCAATAAACCACACAGCACCAAGAACATACTGCAAAAGGACAAAAAGAGGGGAAAATAAAAAATCTTCGTGGAATATATCTCCATAAGAGGGACACCGAACAATTGAAAAGAAAAGAAAGTTAAACCACCAGGGTCTAATCATCAAATATGTCGGTTTATACTCCTTTCTACCTCCCATCTCGCTCTCTCAAACCAAAACAAAAACGAGAGCAGACCAGAAGTGTCAATGACCTCAGCAGCTAATCCATACGGCTGAAAAAAGGGGGAATAGAAATTGTGGAGAAAAGAAAAGAAGGAAAACGACATCAATAAAAGTGGAATACCTGACCAGGCAAAGCAATAGAAGAAGAACAAAGTAAAAGCGAAAACCCCCATTCCATCCCTTCCAAATCTCCCAGGACAAAGCAACCACGCCTCCGCAGTGCCTTTGCCAACCACCAACTGTACGGCAAGAGTGATGTATATATCTCATCATGAACATGACATGACAAATGAAAGAGGACGCCCCAGCTTCGAGCTCATACGAAGACAAGAGAACAAGAGTTGAGCAACAGGAACTAGAAGAAGCATGTGTGATATGCATCATCGCATTCAACTCGTTCGTCATGCTCGAAAAAAGAAAACTTTTTTTTGTGTATTCTTCCCACTGGATTTCCGCAACGCCCATAATGGTTGACTTGTTCCGGCAATAAAAGACGACAAAAGTTTCATGTAAATGGAAAAAAAAAAAACGACAAGCCATGCGCTGCGTGATGGGATGAGCGGGAATCCAGCAGCTGAAATTTTCCTTCAAAAACGGCGATCAACGTGCGGATATGGAGAAGAAAATCTTTGGAACCCCAAGAGGCTCTCTTAACAAACATTATGTAAAAAATCGTAGGAAAGGCTGTTCCGAATAATCCCGCTCACTCAATGGGATCCACGGGTTCGTTGCTTTCTTGCCAGCCAGTCCCCAAGCATGTTATCAAGTTGCTGTAACAGCTGTTAGCATATGCGGTGGTTAAAGAAGAGAAAACTAAAGACTTACAGTTGTTATTTCGGCCAACTTGGCATTCTGCTCTCGGAAGAGACCACCCACTACGGGATGATCGCTGCTTGCAGGCACCACATCAGTCTTGTCGTATACCACAACCAAGAGGTCGCGAATATGCTCAGGCTCGTCAAAGAAGGCACGTAGCTTCATGTCGTCCCAAGTCTGTTCTTTGCTGCCGGTGGAAGAGGAACTGCTCTTAGATCTACCCTCGGCAGACTGAGTTAGCTCGGGAGAGGGCGAAACAGTGAGCGATCGATCCTCTGGAGACGAAGTATCAACCATCAGAGCAGGAGGGTCCGATGGCGCAATGGGCGATTCGGGAGATGGCTCTGAAGGCGGTTGAGCTTTGGATTCGGCCGGAGGCTGTTGCTGAGATGCAGGAGGCTTGTCACCAGTAGATGAAGTGTGACCCTCAGGGAAAGAGCCAGGAATAATAGCTTCTTCCTCTTCTTCCTCTTGGATAGCTTTGGCAGCCACAGGTGTGGATGATGACTTTGGCCTGGGCATCTGATCCAAGATGGCTTCGCCGTCATCTGAATCATCCGAATCGGATAGCTCCAGATGGGCATATGGAGATCGCGGCCCAGTAGCGGCTCTCGGGCTGGTAACTACCTCGCCACGGCGTGCAGTAGGAGACATTGGCTGTTCCAAAGACGGGCGGCCTCGAGGGGGCTGATGCGATGGAACCTCGTGTGTCTCGTTTGTCTCGGGGTTGACGATGCGCATTGACGGTGGAGGCACGTTGGAAACATCGTTGATGCGGCTCTCGGCCAGATAAGAGGCAAGCTCCACGGTGGAGTTTTGGGTCTTCTCGTTGACGGATGGCTCGACCCGGGCTTGAGGCTTCTGCAGCTTGGCCGGCTGCCTGACCTTTTCCGGCGATGACTGCTCTTCAGACTGGCGCTCTTCGCTGTCGCGGGGCTCGCCGTCTGTTCCATCGTCGTTGGGTGACCTCTTCTTGTCTTTCCGTGAGAAGAAGCCTCGTAAACCGCCAGGTTTCTTGTCTTTCTCCTTGTCCTTGCTCTTTTTCCTGTCCTTGTCAGACATGAGCTCCTTCTCAAGCTTGTCTAAGCTTGCGCGAGACTTGGATCCGGCAGAGTCAGACGACTCTCGAGGAGGAGCGTCATCCCGCAGCAAATTCGGCGTAAGGGTAATCTTCTTGGTCTCGGCTGTATCATCCTTAAAGAAAGAGTCGGTGTTCCTGATGTTACCGTTACGAGATATACTGGGGCCGTTCTTCTCCACAATATCGAGGCTGCCCCGAACATCTTCATCGTCGGATTCTTCATCCTTGGTTGGCACAGATTGCTTGGCGGCCTTGGACTTGGTCTTGAGCGGTTCCACCTTGGCAGTGTCATCTGCAGCGTCGTCGTCTTCTGTCAGCGCCTTTTTCTCCTGAGTTCCCTCTAGCAACTCATCGAGATCCTCCTCATCTGAAGAGTAATCAGGGTTGTAGTTGTGGATGGTGGGCTCGGCAAAAGCGACAGTGGCTTTCTTTTTGATGGCGATTGAGAAGCCAGTCTTGGGCTTCCCATCGGCTTGTGTATCGGTCAACATGGTGGAGGAAAGCTGCTGAGCGTTAGTAAGATGAAATCTTTTTATTTGTGAGATTGATACGCACGTCGATATTCCTGTGTTTGTTAAGTCGCGCTAATCTTTCGGTAGGCGTCTCGATGTGCTCAGCTGGTAGGTAGCCTATAGAGACATATTAGCGAAATGCTGATGGAAGCGGAGAAATCACAATAATACATACCAATGCTACTATCCTTGACTACTCTTACAAGCCACCAGTAGCTGTTGCTATCGTCGAGCAGAACCATGGTGTCACCCTTGGTCGCGTTGGCTTGGCCCTCGACGGTGGCCACAAAGGTGTGGAGGGCGTAGACGAAATCGAAATCGATGTCCTCTGGTTCATGTAAGCACTCTGCTGCCCATCCATGGTCAATGAAGCGTGGGTCGTTGGGGAGGGAGAAATCAGAATCATCATCTTCTTCAAAGGATTTGTTGTATGGTATCGTCAGCGATGTATCGGCGTCTTCAATCTCGGCTTCGGTCTCGTATACGAAGGCGTCTGGGATGCAGCTGCAGCCACAGCCACAGCCACAGCCATATTCTCCATCATAGTCATACATGCACGTCTCCCCATGTTCGATAGCGCCGAGTTCCTGGTGAGCTAAAGCTTGTGATAATGCCCAGTCACCGTCCTCGTCCACCACAGGATCCTAGCCTTTGGTTTCCAAGTCTTGTCCACCCGTCTCGTCAACATCGCAGCCGCCATTGTCGTTGTTATTTTCGTTGTTATCGTCATCGTCGTCGTCGTCGTCGTCGTAACCGTCTTCATCGCCACACTTGGCATACTCACCCGAGAGAAGATGATGATGTCCACTTCGAATCTGCTGCAGGAAATCTGTGTCTCTTGTGCTGGGAATTGGAGGAGATGGAGTGTTTGGGTGCAGGTGCAGTGATGCCCAGGGAATCCGAGGGATGGAGGTCAGGGAAGACACTCGCCGCGGCCAGGCCACGGGAGTGACGGTAACGGAGTGACTGCACGCACCATCTTCGATTGAGGGCGAGCTCGAGATGCGATCCATCATGTCGTCATCCAGGTCGCCATCGTCCTCGATGTCGTCGTCGTCGGCCATGCCGCCGTTCTGGGCCACGGCCAGCGGGTCCAGCTGGTGCTGATGCTGCTGGTAGACGTCCATGTTGGCGGCGTCTGTGTCTGAATCTGAGTCTGAGTCTGAGTCCGTGTCCGTGTCTGGCGGGCGGTTGAATTTGGCGGTGGAAGAGGCAGCCCGGGGACTGCGCGATTGGTCCTGGGCGGTCTTGTGGGCGACGTCGCGAAGGGTCTCTGCCTGATGCGGAGCGCGGGCGGTTGGGCGTCGGTCTCGGTGGGCGGATTGGTCCTGCGCCGAGGGAGCGTGGTGGTCTTGAAGATCGATGGTGTCTGTATCTCGAATCGAAGGAAAAGGAGGAAGCGCTCGTCAGTCTCGAGCAGTCAATGCTCACGTGTCTCGCGTCGCGGACTCGGAATTGGGAAAAAGAAGAAGACGACAGGAATCGGAGAAGGAGAAGCAAAAACAGAAAGAACGTCAAAAGATAGTGAGTGAGGGTTGGGAAGTTGTTAAAGTCTAGAAAAGAAAGAGCGCAGGGAGCGCGGTCGAACGAGCGAGAGAAGAGAAGGGCAAGGGAGAAGAGAAGATGCGATGATGGCTAGATAGTGCAGCAACAGCAACAGCTACTAGAGCTTCAGGCAGATGCAGAAGATCAGGACGAGGCAGTAAAAAGGCACTGCACAGTACGGATGGCCAAAAAGATGCCCCTGGTCGAGTTTAGGCACTCTCTTGAGTTCGTCTGTTCGTCTCGCGCTCGTCTCTTGCCATCGCAACGTGCCAATGCTATGCAAGGCTAATCACAGCGAAACGGGGGTGGCGCGCTTTGGTGCTGGTGCTATTCCCGTCCCTTTTTTTTCTGGAGCCAGTGACAGGCACAAGTCCCGGGCCAGGGCCAGAGTTTCTAGCAGGGGTGCAATAAAAGGTGGAGGAGGGGAGGGCACCAACCAGAAAACTCGATGCAGCAGTGGTGGTGATTCGAGATGGAGGGACTGAACATGAAGGCATGAGAAATACAGGGGCAGGGCTTGACGATCGCTTGTTTGCATGAGGACAGAGCACGGAAAAATAAAGATGGAGAAGCGAGGCCAATCAGCGCCCCGTAATGAAGGAATCAAGCAATCAGGATAGCAGCGATGATAACAGCAGCACTCTTAGACTCTGTGATGGTAATACGCACCGGCTCTGATGATGGAGGGCCTCGTCATGGTGAATGAATCGCTGCCCGTCGTTTTATTATTATCGATGAATGTTGCCGCTCAGCTTCGGGCCGGGTTGATCAATACCAGAGATTTCTCTTATCTCAATATTTTTGTGAAATCTTTATCTCTTGAAAAAATCCCTCTCGCGGGCCTGAGCGAGTTTCCGGCTAGCTGGCGATCTCCACGACACTAAGCAATTGACTTTTGGTCTCGCTACTCTGTGGGAGCACGTTTGTCACTCCAAGCGTCAGTATCTTTCGGCTGCTTGTTGGCTGTGCTTGTTGCAGGAATAATAGGACCGCGCGCCTGTTGGCTGACTGTGCCGTGCAGTACTGTGCTGTAATTGTGGCGCGTGCTGCAAGGCGCAATAGCAAATCAAAGGGTTGACACTGAAGAGATGAGATTGGAAACAAATGACGAAAAAGGTGAGGAGAGAGGAGAAAGTGAAAAAAGGTTTGACGGGCTTCGGTAGGCAAGCGATCGGGTCTAGAGGACAGGTGACGAGTAGAGATGAACAAGTGAGACATGCGTCTGATACGAATGGAAGACAGACACGGTTGCTCATCTTCCTGACAGTCTACCTATATTGCTAGCATCAAAGCAGGCCAAACAGTGACATTATTAGCCATCATCCAACTGTAAAACGCAAAGTGTACCATAAATCAGCAGATGCAGCCCATTCACAGCGTCATCTCCCACGACAAACACAATCCAAATCCTACGATCCTCCCCACAGGGCCCTGCCAAAAACAAGCGCGCCCAAAAATGTTTCTGCCGACGCACGTCCACCTACCCACAAACACACACAATAATAGCACGTTATGTCAACACCAAAACATTCCTCCAAAACCCGGTTTTTTCTCCAATACCCCTCTTTTCTCTATCCAAACCACGTTCTTCTTATTCAATAGAGTAACCCCGTCGAGTAGTATCAAATGCCATGATATGATGCTCTTATATATCCAAAAGTCATTCTTCAAATCTCGCTCACTCAATCACCCCCCAGCATCTCCTCGGCACCATCTCATGCACCAAAATCCACTCCATGCAGGTGCAGATGCAGCTGAGATGCACCTCGCCGGGTTCCTACATCCAGGGCCATTTTACGTACCCACAAATTCTTCCCACAGCTCCAATATCCACCCAATGTATCTCTCGCTCTCTCTACCTGCTGCAATGTACATTTATTTCCATCTCAAACTCGAACTTTGTAAAATAACACATGGCATAATCTCTTAAAACACCACAGCATAGCCCAGCATGACACAGCATTGAATCCTACACACGCATAAACAAACCGTCTCTCTTAGCGAATCCCACCTCAGCCCAGGTACCCAGTAGGATTAACAAATAAATCACAGGCCAAGGTACCTAAAGCTGAAACAACCCCACGCACCCTTTACGCAATCTCACTGGTTCTTGTACCCCTGGATCCGAAACATGATCATTCCGGGCCTGCATTTCTATTTCTTTTTTTTTTTTTCTTTTGTTAAAGCGTTGTAGGCTATCGCGCTTCTTGCACGCATTCTCTTCCACCTATTCATGGCATTATGTGGATTCGCTTGTATTAGATAATACAGTACATAGATGGTAATACACACTAACATCTTGTATGCATCTATTTTCAGAAGTAGACATATTTATAGATTCATCAGCCATTAGCGTAAAAAAATCATGCTTCGCAACAACGATAGACAGATCATGTAGTTAATCGAACAAATCATCATTTTTATTCAGTCCTTAATCCCAGAAGAACCCTATCAATAATCCATAAATCTATTTTTATAAAGCTACTCCATTACTGATAATGGCAGCACTTGAAAAGCCATTTAACCTGTTTTTTCGTTTTCCTCCACTCTTCGGTTGATCCAACTGAGAGACACTCTTTTTGGTTGTCCTCTATTCAATGTATCGTAAAATTTACTTCAAAACACGCTCGAAAGCAAAAAAAAAAAAAAAAAGGCAGAATATTAATTAATGCAAAATCTCCTCCTCTCTCCCTCTACTGGTGGATAGACATGCGTCGAACCTGCTCAGTAGGGGTGCCCTGGGCAGCCATTTCAGCCAACTTCTTTGTCATGCTATTAAGTAAATGTTAGCAGCTATTCATCAAATCTAATCTCAAGTTGGGGTATTGGAAAACTTACAAATCAAAGAAAGCAAACTGGCTGGGCTGGCTACCAAACTCGTAGACGAATCGGCTGGCCAGGTAGCTGCCAAAGATGGCACGCAGGTAGTTCTCCGGCACGCGGGAGATGATCGTCTCCAGACCAATCTTCTCCAGCAGAAGCTTGGGGAGGGCGTTCTTCAAAACACCCTTGCGGATGTTATCGTTCTCCCACAGGTCAGAGTGCTGCAGCTTCTCGTCGAGGTCGGTAATGGCCACTGACAGCTTGTCAGACAGAACAGATCGGGGAATGCCAGTCTCCTCGTGCTCGCGCCAGATGGCCTCGAACTCGAGTCGGGCATTCTCCTGGATCTTGGTCTGGACCTCTCGGACGTAGTCGTTGTAGAACTGAGGTGCCTGTCCGGTCTTGGCATCGACGCACATGTGCTCGATGAAGCCGTCAGTGTCAAAGGACAGAGAGGCCAGGACTTCCAGAGACGATGAAGTGACACCTCCCTTGTTGGCAGAGGCATCCTTGTAGAGAATGCAGCCGGCAGCCTCCAGGCGCAGCTTAGCGTCCTGGGTAATGAACAGGTTGGCACCCTCGACAATGTAGGGGATGATGCTCTTGCCGTCCTTGATGAGGCGGTTGACAGAGATGAGGTCGATGGACTCGGGTCGGCCACCGCAGGGTACAAAGCTGTCCGTCATATCGGTCTCGCGCAGGTGGTATGTGTTGCGGAAAGATGTGCCGTTGTTGACGACCTCTCCGCTGGGCAAGGTGACGTTGTTCTCGTCGCAGAGAACGCGGTATCCGTCCTTGGACAGCTTGGACATGTCGTACTCGATAATCATGGCACGCTTCTTGGCCAGGCGAATGAGCTCGTCTTTGTCCAGGCCGTTGGGGTCCGCCAGCACACCAGAGCCGTCGACGACAGCAGTGTACTTTTCGTTGCTGAGAAGGATTTCGTTGCTGCCCAAATCGCCGTCGGGACCACCGGTCTGCATCTTCCGGACCTGAGAGGGGTCCAGGTCGAGCTTGCGGTAGATGCCCTTGACGTACTCGCGCACAGACAGGGTGGTCATGCCATACTTGTCGTGGGGGATACCACCCAGCTTGGGGGACTTGCCGGTGAAGAAAGACTTCCACCAAGGAGCACCACGAGCCTTGGCGTGCTCAGTGGCCCAGTTGACCAGGTCGGCGGTGTTCTCGTCAGGACCCATGAACAGGATTTCCTCCTTTCCGTACAGATCAACAATGGGATTCTTGATTCCAGGGGTCTCTGCGGGCAGGAGGAGATCGAGGATACTATCAATGTATTTCTCAAACGCCTCGGTGGCCTTGTCCTGCTGCTTGGGGTCCAGGAGAATGACACCCTTGGATCCACCCTCGGGAATATCCTTGTTCTTGCGCTGCTGAGTGCTGGCAAGGCCATAGTTCTCGTCAAAGAGGTTACGAGCGTTGATGCCATAGGCCTCCTTGCTGCGGGACTTGACGATACGGATACCACCACGAGAAATGTCTCGGAAACGAAGGTGGAAGCCACGAGACTCGGCACCAATGACCAAGAACATACCATACAGGGGCTTGGGGTACTCGGCCTCTGGCAGGAAAGAGGGGTCCAAGCGGAAGCTGAGGGCGACCTTGGTGGGGGTGAAGTAGTTGGTCTTGAGGATGGCGTTGTTGAACACACGGAAGGCGGTCATGACCATCTCGTCGT